TTTAACTTAAAAGAGCTGTGATTCCCAATTTGATTACACTAATAATCAGAAACTGATGCTCATACATGAGTCAAAAGCCACATGACTAACAGATGTCAAAACTGTTACCATTTAGCACCATCTACTGACATTTAAAAATTCAAATAAATCGTCCCTTTTCAAGTTACGTATATGCGACACTAGTCCTGGCGAGGTTAAAACATTTTTGTGTTTGGAAGTATACATATTTATGATCCACAGTTCGGAAAGCGGAGGCCATGTAAGGACTTTTACAGATACAGTATGTAAATTATGCATAAACTCTTCCTTGAAACTGGACTTTTCCCCCCTTGCTCCTTAAGGACAAAATAATTAAAAAAAAAAAAAAAAAAATAATAATAATAATAATCTGCAACACTTTTTTTCTTAATTTGAAGGACACCAGATAAATATTTCAGTAGAAAAATTGTTGAATACCTTTATATCTTTCAATGTAAGAGTCTTCTTATGAATATTAAGCAGGCAAATTTGACTTTGTAACATATTACAAACATAAATCTCATTAAACAATTGTGTTGTGTGAATATGTATTAGCAACTTTTATGCTTAACAAACAACTTAAAATATGTTTTGTTGTAAGAAATTTAAAAGCTTTTTCTGATTTTCTGTGTTATTTGCTACTACAAAAAAGTATAACTTAAATTTTTCTAATGAATAATTAGTGATAATATATAAAGTAGGTGTGCATCCAAAAAATTTCCGTAATATTTAAGAAAATATGAGAATACGGCAGAAATATTTCTATGATGAAATCTTAGTTCAAAATGATTTTGTTTCGTGATCTTTTGATTGGTTGATTATTAACACTTTAAAATTATTATTGGCTTTTTCAGTTTAAGATTTAAAGAAATTAAAAAAAAAAAAAAAAAAAAAAAAAAAAAAAATGCATCAGCAGCATTTTGTTAAAGTCGTGGTTATTAATTACTTCCTTGTATGAAGTAAAAAGGAAGTATTGTAATCGTGAAAAGTTTCAGGCAGCATATTTCAACGAAAATGTCCATTTTGACCGCTATCGAATGCAATTTAACGAAGTTTTTGCATGATATCTGTACAGAAGGACAGAATAAAAAAACTCGTTTCCTCCAAAAAAATTATAAAACTGGTTTAAAATTAATTCTGAAGAGAATTTTTCGTGGCGTCTGTACGAACGTATGTCTCTCGCATAACTCAAAAACGAGTAGCCTCAGAACGCTGAAATTTTGTATATAGGACTGCTATAACATGTAGATGTGTACCTCGTATTTTGGTTGCATTTTTTTTTTGCCTTCAAAAGTCATTTAAACTAAAATCGTGAAAATCTAAAATGAAAAGTATTTTATTTAGAAATTAGAGAATTTCTAGGAGGAATTCGATTTATTTTATATTATTTTATGATTGATAAAATATTTAGATAAATCGTTAAAACTTACTGCTGCGTATTAATTGTTCTCACGTTGTTTTATTTTCGAATATTCTTGTGCTAAATAAATTTAATGGTTTATTTAGATAGAAATGATGGAGGTGGAACTCGTTCGTCAAAGAACAATCGTCAAAACAACAAGGGAATTACAAAAAGAAAAGAAGTGCAATCCAACATGGCAAAGAGAACAAACAAAGGCAGGCAAAACATTTCATTTTCTAGCTATGTATACCACATAATATTTGGTCATATCTTTACTGTTTTAGAACTAGTCTCTTAAAATTATAAATGTATTTGCTTGTTTTGTATTTAATCATGTATAAGATTAAAATTTTGTCTTAATATTTGAAATTAACAGAACATTTTTTTTTGGGGTGAATGTTTAAACAAAAATTATGTGTGCTGTTAAGATGGGTTTTCAGAAATTTAATCATTTTTTACTTCCTTGTACAAAGTAAAAAGGAAGTATTGTAATCGCGAAAATTTTCAGGCGTCATATTTCAACGAAAATATCCATTTTGACCGCTATCGAATGCAATTTAACGATGGTTTTGCGTGACATCTGTACGTAAGAGCAGAATAAAAGACTCTTTTCCACCGAAGAAATTATAAAACTGTTTTAAAATGAATTCTGAAGAGAATTTTTCGTGACGTCTGTATGTACGTAAGTATCTCGCATAACTCAAAAACGAGTAGCCTCAGAACGTAGAAATTTTGTATATAGGACTGCTATAACATGCAGATGTGCACCTTGTATTTTGGATGCAATCGGCCGCACCAAACGCATATAAATATATGTATATATATATATATTTTAACAAACATGTAAATATGTAAAAAAGCAAATTTAAAGTTAAAATAAAGTGCAAACATATAAAAGATTTAATATACACATATTCACTCTGTTACCCGGTTCAGTGATCTCAGTTTCTTTACTCTTATATGTTTGTAAATTGTGCATTTTGTGCTTTAAAAATGATTGAATTATGTTGTTCTTATCTTCCGGTTAAGGATTTCATGCCCTTAGTAAATCTGCTTGCAATATTTGTGGAGTTAGCAACAATTTAAAAGTTGTTCAAGTGCAGCAAAGGCCTAATTAATTTTGCGATTTGTTTACATTTCAAAATTGGCAAAATAGCGGATTTGTTACCAATCTAGAGAAACTAAGCTTCGCAACAACAAAGATAACGCCTTCTTTTATTATTGCGAATTAAATCATGTTTAATCCATTCTGGAATTTATTCAAGGAAATAAATGTTTAAGATTTACTTCTTAATTTTTAACATAGATATTTTGCTATTTTATGTAATTTTGCCTTGTCGGGAAGTGAGAACTGAATTAATTGAATGAGAAATACTCAATCAGTGAAAAACTGTTTCTTTTTTGTTTTGTTTGCTTAATTTTTTTTATACATCATTCTAGCTTTATTTAAGTATTTGAATAGAACATGTGGCAACGATTAGATAATTCTAATCTTTAAATGATATAAATTTTGTGCATTATGAGTTATAATATGAACGAAATATAATACTGTTAAGTGAATCTAGCACCAGAGTGTCGCTATGGCAAACAAATACTAGAGTGAATTTTAAAGAATGCATTTATTCTATTGTGGTTTATGCACTGTTGGCGAAGTAGATTTAATTCAATCCAATAAGTTTAAATGAAATGAAAGAAAAAATGCGTATAATTTAATATTCCATACAAGGAAGTTATATGGTGTACACATCAGATTTTTTTGAAATGATGAAGTTTAGAGAGGTTTATTATCAAGACATACTATTTTTAGAGCAAATAGGGGAAATAACCAAATTAAAATGAAAAGTAAAGGGATATAGAATAGAAGAGAAAACACGCCAATGTGACAATTAAAATCGCAATAACAACCTTGAATGTTTTAATATACAGTATGCCAAATACAAGGTTGTTATTGCAATTTTGGTTAAAGTTAGTATTTCGATTTATATATTTTTTAAAATTTTCTTATCATTGAACGATTGTTTATTTATACATATGTATATGTGTGTGTGTGTGTATATATCTTTCTGTAAAATCACCAACAATTTAATCTATGTTTCTTCTCTTTCGTATTTTTGAACATTATGCTTATGCGAAAATGTAAAAATAGCAAAGTAATATAATTTTTTAATTCTCAATAAACGTGAAAGAAATTCATTGATGTGGTGTAAGACACAAAAGTGCAGACAATAAATGTAGTAAACTACAAAACAATATGTAAAACTTAAAACATTAATCAACAGTTATAAAGTAAAAGTTACTTGATTATAATACAATTAAAAAACATTTCAAATGGTCTTACAACATTTGGGTTTTTGAATAAGCCAATATTAATCTTAATTATTACTTGCAATTTGAAACTCCAGCTAAATATGCTAGTTAAATTTTCTATTCAATATGGAGGTTGTATGCATCAGCATATACTAAAGGTGCCTGGGATTGCCCCATTAGAAGTGAGTGCAATTAACTGTTTTGCTAGTGCTAGTAGATTTTGAACTGGTGAAATAATTAAAAAAAGAAGCTTTCTGATTAGTTGTGGAACCAGAAAAACTAAATTGAATTGGAGGAATTACAGCTGACAAGAATTCTTTACTTTCTTTGGCAAGATTCTGGATATTAAAATGATAAAAAGCTCAGAGTAAAAACTTGTAAGTTTATAATTTCTGGCTAAAAGTTAAAAAAAAAAAAAAAAAAAAAAAGAAGAGATTGACAGGAAAAAATTCTTCATTTAAATAGTTGCTTTAAGAAATTGAAAAGAAATGTATCTTGTTATTAAATGGATAGAGGCGAGAAATATATACAGAATATATATAAACACGCACATTAAAAATTTCCTTGATATATGAAGCTCTAGCAGGCTATTTGCTCAGAAATTTCAGCTACTGTTATTCGAAAGTATGCGCTCAAGATTGCGATTATTTAATAAAATAACAGAGCTTACTGTTAAAAATACAACGAAAAAATTTCAGAATGGCAACACCCAATTTTTTTCTTCCACAAATTGATCAGCGCACTGGAAAACCATAAATGACAATGGAACGATACATGTACAATGGTGGCATAAGACATTTGCAAAGGACTAATGACCGGGAAAAAAAACTTTTATTGCAATTATAAGTTTTCAACACACCCAACTTCACAGATAATAATGCACTACATGTGGAGATTGTTGACAACAATGAAGAACATAACATCGAAGGAGGAATTAGTGTAACTTCACGTTTTATTTGATCTTTTGAGAATTTTGAGAAGTCTCAGGGATTTCATGAGCATATCTTAAGTAAGAAAGCATAACTAACCTAATCTACATAAAAAATGAAATTTCCTACACTATATGAACTTGGCCCAAAATATATGTATCATTTCCATACAAAGATAATGGCTCTAATAATAACACCTTTGAGGTGTATGCAGATTCTAAGATGTAACTGTATCAGGACTTGTATTTCGCCTAATCTGCTTGGTGAACATGACGTGTCCTAACTAAAAGTGAGTTTGACTACAAACTATGTCCTATGGAGTGTAGGAGAGAAGACAAGACGAGAAGGGTTTAATTGCACTTTATTTTCCATGATATTACAGGCGCTCCCGCACTTCGGTATACAAAGATCAACCACTTGTGGTCTGAACGTAAAAATATGCAAACTACTAACTAAAAATAACAGTTTAACTTTACACAAATGACTAACATTAAGAATGGCCTCTTAAATTATTATGTATGTAGAATGCAAACTGCGGAAAACTATAATACATATTTAGCTTTCAAGAGGACTAAAACCTCTGGCCTTAAAGGTGGACAGCAACTGATTGCAAGCTCATGTGAAGTATAGTGGCAAGAAAGCTCCCTCTCTCCCTATCTAACTCTGGTCTTGGCAAAAAGCCACAACTTAAATACTTAAGCGTTAGCAAGTACAATTTGCATAAACAGTTTAATGCGTTTATTCTGGCCCGAAGTGAAAATAAGAGATGATAGTAAAGTTTTAAAATAAAATAAATGTTAGTAAAACTTAAGAGCCTTACAATTCTCTATATATACATATAGAACAACATTTAACTTAAAAATGTCAAACATGGGTCACCATCACTTTATACCCATTCAAATAAGAAAAAGGTACATGGTGAGAGCAAACATGATCTCGCAACCATGGTAACCAACTCTCAGTGTTGCAAATCAGTTTTTTTTCTTTAGCCATATCAGTTATACAAAGAAGATAACATAAAATGTAAAAAGGTATACATATATAGAATACCATATTTAACGAAAGTTTCCCGCCACCTTAAAGATCTGCACAAACAGTTCACGTTGGCATGTTTAATCATATTTTGTCAAATGATTTTTGGCATTTCAAAGAAACAGACTTGCTACTGTGCTATGAAATTTGTAAAAAAAAATATTGTTATCCTTAAGTCCAAGGAGTCCGAAATGGAACTATCACACTACCAGATTATAACCATAATTTACTTTGAGGTTTTTTTCAAAAAGCCATCTATACAATGTCACCAAATCATGTGTACAACTTTGAATGCTAATGTTATATCATAACAGACTGTGAAGGTTTAGTACTGAAAGTTCAAAAACAAGAACTATGCCATTCAAGAAGCAGAGTGCTCTGGTCAGCCTACCGATTTGACAAGGCCCACCTGTGAGAATTTGTGAAAGAAGATAAGTATGCAACTACTCAAAAGCTTGCTAAAGAGTTAGTCATTAGTGCCATGTCCATTAGCTGTGTTACGCATCGCATAAACCTGACATAAAGTTCAATCGCTTGGTTCCTCATGAGCTGACTCAAGCAGATAAGGAAAGACATGTTCAGGCCTGCACTAATCTGCTCGAATATCAACCCAAAGACAAACTTCTGGATCGGATCTTTACTTGTGTTGAAAACTGTATTTACTTCAATAACATAGGATGAAAAGGGAGTTGGTCTGCAACTAATGAGTCCGTTGGCAGCATTGCAAAGTGCAATTTGATTAACAAAAAGATCATGGTTTGTATCTGGTGGGATTGCCATGGTATTATCTACAAAGAATATCTGGATAAAGATAAAACTCTCGAAAGTAAGGTGTACAGCAAGATGCTAGTCCAATCTGACGCTGCTATCAAGGAAAAACGTTGAACTGAGTTTCAGCGCAAAAAAATAATTTTCCATTAAGATAATGCAAGACCACATGTGTCTGCATTCACTGCCTGGATTTTGTATGAACTTGAATGAGAATTTTTGCCACACCCCACCACACAGCCTCGACATGGCACCTTCGGACTTCTACTTTTTTTCACACCTGCAGCTACATCTTGCTGGTGCTATCTTCCAATCTGAACAGGATGTCTGAAGTAACGTTGATCTGTTTTTGGATTCATGACCACCAAGTTCCTGGGCTTAAGGTTTTGAGAAACTACTGAAACGTTGGCAGAAAATCATAGATTTGAGTGATACTACCCACACTAAAGGTACTGCTTTTATGTTCTTTTTTTCCCCCTAAATTTATGAAGAACGTTTTTTGGCAGAAAACTTTTGTTAACCAGATACATTTTGTCAGTAGGTTCATTTGCAGCCTTTAACTTAGGCATGTATGTTTTAAAAACAATATTCATGACTGCTACTTTATTTTTTCTAAAAATTTCCTTCAGTCATGTATTTAAGCAGAGTTAAAAATACAGGGATTTGATTTTTACCATTCAAGTTTGAACTCTTAGGAGTACTTTTTAACTAATTACTATCACTACAGCTTTTAGAATTTTTGACCAGTTGAACAGATACATAGGTAGCCAAGTTAAAGATATTTTCAGTGGGATTAAAATTTAGGTTTGCGGCCTGTTTTTCTGCATATGACATGCCTGATCTAACTGAAGTGGCATTTTTGCTCTGGGTTTATTTTTTTGGGGGAACTTTATACACATCCACGATAAGAAGCAACATTACAGCCTTGGCTGTTACTGCAGTTTAGTTTATTGATCCTTTCTTTTTGTGGAGAATCTGTCTTTTATGTGCAAGTGAGCATTTAACACTGTGTGGTTGAAAATAACAGTTGTCCAAAGAATGTTCATACCATTGGCAGTTATGGGCAATGCAGTGCCTGAATCTTGGACACATTTTTCAGTTGAAACAGAAAAATATAGATCTTTCAAATCATATATTTTATGAATAGTTTAATTTCTAACTAACTGAACCATGAATAGTGGCATTGCAATCTTAGTCTTTCTTCTCATGAATTGTGTAAGTTTCCTAACTGAAAAACCTCATTCCCAGCGAGTGCGTCGATGATACTTTCTTTTTTAGTATTGGTGGCCACACTACAAATCATGATCTTAATAGGATGCGCATACCTAGTGTTAAAAATGATAAAGCTCGATATTATGCTATGTGAAAAGTTCACTTACAATCTGATGATCCATTTACTTTCCCAAGGAATTGAACTTCAGTAGTATTTGCAAACTTTATCAAGAATTCTTCATGTGAAAGGTTACCGGATTAACCATGATTGGGAAATTAGCATAGGGAGGGCTAGTGCTCTGCTGCTGCTATATAACCTGAACCTCTGGGGTTTTATTAGCTTTTGCATCTACATTTTCGAAATTAAACTGATTAACTATTTTTGTCAGCTGAGGTTTCTTATCAATTTTAAGCTGTTTTGTACTTTTTGTTGCAGTTTTACAACCATCATTATCTACACTGGAAATCCCATGATCATTATCTACACAGGAATTCCTTTTATATTTAGATTTAATTTCATCAATTTTACGTTTGGGTACAACAAAGGCTGAAGAGGCAGTCAAACCACACTTACATTTCAGTTCATTTACTTCACGTTGTAGATCCTGGAGCAGTTAGGCTTTTGGTCCGGTAATTACATCATCGTTGATGAGTGATCGTCTCTGTTGATACATTTGGATAGATGTTGGTAGCATGAATCTGTATATCCAGCTCTTGAATTCTTTTCAGAATATATTCTTGAGTATTAGTCTCAATATCCTTAGCAGTATTGATCACTCCAAAGATATTCTCACAGTTAGCATCGATCTTCATAGTGATGCTCTCGCCCATATGGTAGTCTGAGTTGCCAAAAGGCGGGAACACTTTGGTGTAATTACTTATTTATTGAGCAACATACAAGAACGGTGGCTGAAGGTCAATTTTGTCCCCCAAAAAATGTTGTGTTATTAATAACATTTCCCTTTATGACAAACTTACTGGAACTTACCCAGATTTCAAGCTAATGGAAAGAACATCCTCTTTTCTATTCCTTTGAAGTCCTAAAATGGTGCACCAATCTTTGGAAATAAAATTTTGTATTAATATTTCTAAAAATAAAATCAATATCCTCTAATTTTGGATCAAATCCCCACATATGTAAATCCATTTTTGCCTCTGCTAAAATTTTGATTGAATTATAAAATCTTTCAACATTTGCTTACTATTCATAGAAGTTAAAACGCTTTTATCGATGTAAAATGTCTTGATTAAATTTTGAGCAATGGAACTTAGTTCCATCAGTTGTTGAGACAAATGGTATGGCAATGATGGCTTTCAATAAAAATGAGCTGGATGTTATTCCAAAACCTACCTAGTATGGTGGAAAACTTTAATTTTATTGCCTTTTTCCCATGATAAAAATCTCACAAAATTCCTATCTTTCTGTTTTAACTCTATTTGTAAGAATGAACACTTAATATCTGCTGTAATTCCAATATTTTTTCTCGAAATCACAGTAAAATTGAAGGGATTTCTTCTATTAGATTCGGACCTTTAAACAATCACCACGTGAGGGTGGATTAACCTTACAAGATGCATTAAAAATGGTCTTTAGCAGTCATACTGTGAGATTTAAATACTGAATGATGTGGATAATGCTACTCCTTGAAATTAAGATCTCCATTTGGTACCACTTCCATCATACCTTTCCTAATCCAATCTTCAAAAACTGCTTCATATCCTCTGTGCTTATTTAATGACTTCAGCTTTTGAGTAACATTAAACAATCTCTTTTCTGCAATGTAACAATGGTAATTCAAATTGTTTCCTAACTACGGTAAGCAGACACTGTAACAACCATCTTTAGTTCTAGAAAACGAACTCAAGAATTACTCATGAGCTATTTCCTCTTCATCAGCTTTATTTAAGTTTTGCTGAGTATCTAATATTCCAATCATTTTCAAATTCCAAAGGACAGAAATTCTGAGATTTCTACCTGCAAACTTGCACATAATATTACCGCATTTGTTTTTTATGCGTGATATGAAAACTCCTCAGATTTAAAACAAACAACCCAACCTAATTTTGTATTAATTGCAGTTAATCTCCCACTTAATTGTTTAATTTCTCATGTAAAAATTCTCATAAGTATTGCTAGCAATGAGAATCTGATTTTCAGATAGTCTGGTGCCATATCTCATAACCATATCCTATTATGCTTCAATTCTTTTAACCAGGTTCCTTTCAATAAAAAAGGAATTTCTTCCACAAATTATATCTTGTTCTAAAAACTCAAATTCCAACTTTCACATTTCAAACAAGTCAATTTTACACAATATTTATTATGCATTTTGAGATTGGTGCTAACTCCCACAAACAAAGTATGGGCTATTGTTTCCCTAGATATGACCAGTAATACCAATAAAAGCTTTTTTAATTCCTCTCTTGTGTTGCCATTGGTCCTTTACAGAGCTCTTCTTTGCAAATGCTTTACGGTGGCACTTTCTGCCATACATATATCATTCTAATGTGATTTATGATTTTTCAATGCGTTGATCAATTTATGCAAGAAAAAAATGAGGGTGTTGCCACTCAAAAATTCCAAAATTTTTTCCCAGTAACAACAACGATGACAGCTCTATTGTTTTATTAAATAATCACTACCTTGAGTGCATATTTTCCAAATAACAATATCGGAAGTTTTGATTGCTTGAACGGCTAGGCCACTAGCACTTCATATATCATTTTTTTATGATCATCCTGTATGCATGAAAAATTAAGCAATATGAAATATAAAGTGCTTTAAAATATTAATAACTAATAAATATTGCCTCTACAAATAAAAGCTAAGTTCAAACTCATGATATATAATTTCATATTATATGTATATTTATTTAGAAAAAAGTGCTGTGTTACTTGGGAGGGAGGACTGCAGATGGCACAGGTATTTAAGTAAGCTTAAAACTACTCATTAGTGCAAAATGCATACCAACATTGATTCGCTAACTGATTCTCCTTAGAGTTAAAAATTGTTGATGTAGAATTCAAGTAAAGGTAATAATTCTAAGTTACTCATACAACATGAAGAAAATAAAAGCATCAAATGTCTTTTCAATGCCATTTAATATATTAGACACAGCTGTTGACAAAATGAATAAATAAGCTTCTAAGACAAATTTTAATTCTGAGTTAGTCACAGAGTAAATATATAAAAATTTGGGAATATTTATGTGACTTCTAAGCAAAAAACATTCGTAAAGGATGAAGACATTACATGATGGATATCATCCCATTCTATTCCATTACTGATACAAATTCACATTTTACATTTTTGAAAACTTACGTCACATGTTAGCTTAGAAGGTCATATAATATATATTTCATGTAACAAAACAAGGATATATACAACACAGTTGAATCCACATGATGCTAAGTCAACTTAACAAAATAAATGATCTTCAAATACATGTTCTTGCTCCGTCAAACATACCGAGAATTTTATTCAGAGCTTCCAGTGTCTTATGAAAGCACTTCAGATAGGCATAATTTTTAAGTCAACCACTTAAAATGTCAAGAAATTTCATTTACAATACTAGAATGGAATGTTTGATAATCTGGATGGGAAGACACTGAAAGTAGATCTTCATCTTTGTCCTATTGAAAAAAAAGGAGAGAGAGAGAGATTTTACATTTATTACATAAGAAAGAAACATAGCACATTAAGTTTCCTTCATTCTAAAACAACATATATATGAACAATTTACAACTACATTTGCATTTTAATTTTACAAATCGTTTGAGTGTTTTAACCCTTTTAACTGCCATGGAAAACATACAAGATTAATTTCCCAGTGTCATGGTTTTTCACACAGGCGTGTGTAGTTATGTGATGTATAAGGTAAAAATAAGTGCAAGTTTTACTTTCTAAAAACTGTTTACTTTCACAAAATAAAGAATAAAAGAAAAAAAAATGAATGCACAAAATTTAATGTTTTGAGTAAAAGTATATAAAAGGATATAAGTATTAAAAGTAATAAAAATGATGTTTTTATAATAAAAAAAGATTCCTAAAATGAAGTTTCGATCAATTCATTTTTAGACCAGTAAAGTGTAATATCAGATTCAGTGTTATACCTTGTAAAAATCAGTATGCCTAGAAAAACATATATTTCTTCTGACTGGTTGAATGCCACGATTTTGTTCTTGATTTTTTCCGTTTGCAAGGTGTTGTTTCATACTCGTCTACAAAACGTTATTTCAGTAACAATATGAGCAAAGCAGTTCATCAAAAAATAATTCAAAAAAGATAATGGTTTTGAAACATCTGTTATATCTTTCTTTATTCCTGGAACCCACTACAAAAAGTAAACGAAAACGGAGGACGCAGAATAAAAAAAAAAAAAAAAAAAATTTTTTTAAGTTAAATGCAGTGAAACTTTTTTTTTTAACAAAAATATATGCTGACTACTATACCACAACATAACATCAATGGATATAAGGTATGAATACACAAGAAACAGACAATATGCATTACATTAAAAAGATGAATTATTCTTAGAATGTCGCAAATGGCATATTTCTTTTGACTATAAGAATATTATTTTCCTATATAAAAGTCCCGGAGAAAAATTTCCAGTGGAAACATTCTGGAAAAAGAATTGCGATTTTAAGATGCACTTCTACTTTAAATACTATATTTTTGGTAAAGGGGGGAATCGACACATCCTGTAATTGAGAAATAAAATAGGCAATCCTGAAGTTGTTTTTAATTTTTATAGTTATGGAGCTTTATTTCTTTTAAATGCCCCTATGCTGCAAACATTATATGCTTACAAACATCCGTGCCCTCTCTGGCAGCTGAAGCCTCAGCTCAAGGTTAATTATGGTGAATATCTTTTTAAATCCTTAGATACTTCTTGGGTTTGCTTTACTGACCAGTAGCATCCTGGCATAAAAAGTGGTTTGATGAAGCAAATAACTGCCAATTCTTGCACACCTGTTCTATGTTTGGGTATATGCTAGCAAGAAGCATTACAGTCACAGTGATTTAACTCCTTCTTTTATTGCTAAGATTAGAGTGGGAAGTTGATAGGTAGAGCAACTGATAAGAAATTTCATAAAATGTCCCTCTTGGGAGAAAGTGTGATAGGTGACAGTCGTGTGTAATTTCCAAAATGTTTGAGGTTTTCTCTATGTGTGGTATACACAGCCAATTTTTTATCTTTTGGGAAATGTAGAAGGATCATAAGGATATGCTTTGAAGACTACTTGTGGTCTGCGAATTACAGATTGAGAAATGCAGTCAATCTGCAGCTGGGCTAGCTTGTGTCAAGAACACGAGACTTTAAGAAATAAAAAGTGCATGATTTCAAGCAAGATCAACAAGTGAGTAAGAGCACAATGCTGGTTTTCACATCACGGTAGCTGGTTTTCCAACCACTACAAGTAAAAGGAGGAGGCACATAATGCTTAAATTACTTCATACACGCTGAGCACTTAAAAGCACCAACTGTTATTTATTTACTTTTTCTTGTTCTTCTTTTAATGCAGATTGCTGAAATTGTAATAGTAAATTTCATGCAAGTACATTTTAATTCAATTAAGCATTTTAAGCTTTAATGCATGGATAAAATGTGTAACCCCTCCCCCAAAGTAGAACATGTACACTAAACCATGTTTCAGATATAAAGAGCCATTTTATTTTTCAACTTGAGATTTATCTCCATCAAAATATTATCGACTTCTATTTACACATCATATTCTCCATTTAAAAAGGATTTCTTTATATCAGTTCTGAAACACTAGATTTAAGAAGTTGTCATGCTTTTTTCCAACCTAATAATATTTTCAAAATAAACTCAGCATATAAGAAATGGGGTCCAAAAAATTGTCCTTTCTGAAAATATACACTACAGTTAAAAATTCTCATTAAAATTTCATATCTTTCACTTTCTAATTATCATCCAGAGAATTACAGTACAGTGAATACAACCTCTGCACTTTTATAAACTGATTACCAAGTTCATAAAATTTTCTTTGTAAGTTTGTATTTACTAACTTTTACACTGGATATTAAATTCAGTTTCTTGACCATTCACAATGCTAAATAAATAAGCATTCTGTATTCCAAAAGGGCATATATTTTTTAATAACAAAAGGCAACAGATAACAATTCATCAGAATTTAAAGAGAATTGTGTTAGAAGTACTAGTAATTGATCACTTTGTGACCTTACCATTCAGCAGAGCTTTGCAGACTTGATAAGACTTGATAAAATTTTGTTTTACAATATTTTAATTTGACCTTCACAGGCGAAGGAGTATAAAAGGGTGAGATATTCTACTTGTCCTTGTGTACTTTCACTATTTAATTAAGCAATCAGTAATAACTTGCTTTTCCCCAAACTTGGAAGCACAGAAATTTTAAGAATATTATGATACATCTTTGTGTTTATGAATCTGACCATAGGAATCAAGGGACTTAAATCCAAAAAACAGTCTCAAACAAGGATATGTGAGACATCAAACTTGACAGTTTGCATAATATACGAAAGATTCTCCAAGCAACCACCAACTCAGATGCCTTGTTCAGACTGTTAAGATTGTGTAAGCAAGATTCATCACTACAAATAATTTATTTCGGTGTTATTGCAACCACTCAAGTAGAAGTTGACAAATTTTCAGAATGTTCTAAACTTTAGCAGTGCATAACCCACAACAGTCTTTCAGTCAATCAACATTGTCATTTTTGTATATTATTTTTGCTGTATACCAAGATCCAACAGCTTTTATAAACAAATTATGACATTTTTGGTTGTGGAATTTGCCAGCAAAGGAAGAAACTGTGATAAAATTTCTGCAGAAATACAGAATTTTGACACAATATCTCTGAAGGGTACAATGAGAAGATGCATTTCATATAAGTGTAAAATGTAAATGTTCTATTTTTTTTAATGTATCACATAACCCTTATTTAATTAAGTTTGTATTTTAAATTGCTAAGTAATTTTTTTATATGTTGATAATGTTCGCGGCTTGTGATAAATATCGATAGTTTGGAAATCTTTTTGGAAAAATTCATGATACCAAATAAGTAACATTTTGTTTTTTATCTGTATAAAATCACCAAATTGTGCCAAGGTGGTTGCATAAATACATAAGTACCTTTATTTCTACTGCTTAACAGTCTACAAGGATAAGCTTTGTACTCTTTTAGCTAATGTCTGACAATGACTATACTTAACCTAGACTGGTGAGTGGTCACAAGACATAAAAATCTACACTTTTCAGTTTCTGATGCTATCACTGATAGCAGGTGCATTTTGAAACTGAGGAGTGATCATTTTTCACTATATTTTTCAGAGCTTCACTGCTCAGATCATCATGTTTATGCAACCTACCACTTTATTTTCCTATTATTTGGCATCCAAGATGTTTACATTTTTTTGCAACATCATTTGCACTTGATTTAGTACAGTAAGTCTGAGATTTCACAAACTGATTTGTTCAAATAATAGCACTCAATGACCAAACAATATTTGAAATCATAAAGTTCTGTTAAACTACTTACTGTCTAACACAAATGTATAATCTCCAAATGTTATCACCACAACTTCTATTTTATTCAATGGCATTTAAAACTGTGGCAACGACCAGAGTTGAAATTGCGACAGATCCCACTAGAGTTTGCCTCCAGTACTACATTCCTCTACTTTTGGAGCTAAATTATAATGCTAGCCAGAGCACACTAAAGCATTAAATAAAAGGATCACTATCACTTCTTTTATAAAACTGAATTGTAATTTCAGCCAAAAATTCTATTCATTTTGTAAAATTTTAATTTAGTAATATGTAAATTTTAAAAATAAATTCTAATTTATTGGCAATTTTAATGACAGATAATTTACAATAGAAAAAGGAACAGGGGATGTTTAATTTCTTAAATGCATTTCAAGATACAACAAGCTTAACATAGAGATACTAAGATCAACATATCCAGTGTTAGTGACTTTCAATAGAAAAGCTCACCTGCACACTTTCCAGAGCAATCTTACAGGGTGACAATGATCATTTGTAGTACAGAACTTAATCCTTGCATTTGAGGGAAATTTTATTCCTATCACATTCAGTTTGAAATCTAGAATTATACTAGCAGAGATTTGGGTAAGAAAGTATTGGACTCTTCTTTCTTTGTTACATATCAACATTTCTCTCTTAAAATTTCCTTCCATTTTCTCAAACTATTTCTAGCATTATCTCTAATTCTCATTATTGATGCTTTAACTGTTCTAGTTTTAAATTCAGACAGACCCCATTTCTGGTATATTTTCTACTTTTTAAGTGAAATTGTAGTTACACCCAGAGCCCCAAATAAGACAAGATTTGGTATTTTAATTTATTGCTTAATTACCTATCATTAATTTAAATTGATTTATTCAGCTTTTATATATTTCATAGCATTTTTGTTTTAATTATTTTAATCATTTAATTTTATTCACCTTTTACAAAGGCTTCCTATAGAGCTCTGGCACTTCTAATTTTAGACATTAAGCCCTGAACAATCACATTCATTTCTCCAAAAAGGCATCCACATAAATTTGGTCATAGAGTGTCTATTAAAAGCAATCTAATATAAAACAGCATTCTTAAAATATT